TGCGTCTGATATGGCGCGTACTCACCCTTAGCGGTGGTCTTCGTCTTGTGAACCGTTCAACAAGTGTGCGCCCGTCCGTGTGCGCGTGTGTGCATGTGTGTGGATGTGCCTCTGACTAGCAGCTCGTTGTTTACTGTAATTCTCACCTAGCCACCGGCAACAAAAAAAAGAAGAGCACTTGCACCTCCCCAGAGTACCTTCTGTGAGCTTGCGTGCACTCGCTGATCCGATTGAAGCGGATTATTGTAACCTCCGTTCCAATTCCCGGCGGTTCCCCCTTGTGTGTGACGAGCCCAGGAAATGAGCAGCGTTCACAACAACGCGTTCATTTTGAGGATATTTTTTTAACACATCACGTTTAAGACTACGCAAATAAGCAAGTTATTTTTTTTTACAAAACATTAATAATAAAAGAGGTGAAGTGGCCGGGTTGGCTCAGAGAACGAAGCGCTGAGCCCACAACCTGCTGCCAAGGTTGGGTTTGAATTCGGGTTTCAGCCACCCGTGATTGAACCAGGTTTCTCGAGTGTAGTGAGTTGATGGTCTTAGCCCAATCAGCAATTACTGCACAACATAAAAACAATTATTACATTAAATGTACTTTTGCTTTAAATTGGCTAAATTCCAGATCTGTGAAATTTAAGGATACGTGAGATTGTCATGCAATGGACATTTCTCCGTGGCAGGGCGGGTGGGAAAATGCACACTTCGAGTGTGGATACAAGAGGCCACTTGAGACTTCAGAAAAACAGTTCTGTGATAACTCAGGTCCTGCGATAGCTCTGTTTTGTGATAGCACCATCTCTTCTCCCTAGACCGTCCTCCTGCTACGCCTTGCCGCCATCTACGACCCGACCTACCCCTATCACGATGGCACCGCGGTGGTGAGATGGCAACGTGGTGGCGAGATGTTAACTACCTCGCCTGGTATGCAGGAGGTCGTGTGTCGATCCCGACCCTGACGCCTGCTGTATATTTTGAGTGTGCATGTTCTCCTGATGGGCACGTGGATTTTTGTCCAGGTCTTCCGGTTTTTCCCTCCACATTTAGAAACATGCGTTTAGCGTATTTGGCTGCTATAAATGTCCACGTGATGATAAGCCACTTCGTTGAGCTATCATTTGTGGCCAGGTCGCTTCTGAAAAAGAGCTGTATAGGTCAGTAACCCTTATCTAGTAAAATCAATTAAATAATACTATCCCAACCCCTATCACTAACCCCTATCACTACCGCAAACCCGATCACTACCCCTACTACCCCTATTACTACCCATATTACTACCCTTATTACTACCCCATCACTACCCCAACCACTATCACTACCCCGACCAGTTCAAATAGTCGTCACTGGTGTTGGCCGTGAGCGGGAAATCGAACTCGGGTCGCCGGGTTCATTGCGCTAACAACGACACTACCGCTCCCCACTAAACACACCAGCCACACAATGTCATTTATATTGGCCGAACATCTCAATGCTAAAAAGAATGACCTCCAAATGACTCAAGTGGGATTACAGAGCAGCTGCACGAGCAGCAGCAATATCGCCCCCTGTCACCCTTCCTGCGAAAACTCAACAGGACCCTCATGGAAAAGTCTCGAGACTCAGTGAGGATCTCTGAGCGAAATCAAAAATAAGTTATATTGATAGAACATTCCGGATAAGGTTGTGGAAAACTATTTTTAAAAAAAAACTATGCCTGGGTGTTTCCCGGGATTATTCTGTCAATCTGCGAGTTTTAGGATTTTATTTTACCAGGTGATGCCCACTGAGCTATGTAGCTCTTTTTCAGAAGCGACCTGGCCACAAATGATGCCCCAACAAAGTGGCTTAGCATGTGGAAATTTATAGCAGCCGACAAATACTGTAAAAGCATGTTGATTCTAAATGTGGAAAGAAAAACCGGAGGACTCGGAGAAAAAACCATGTTACCACGGGGAGAGAAGACACGCAAACTCCAACTATACAGCAGCAGGCATCAGGGTCAGGGATTGAATTCACAACCTCCTGTATACCTGGCGAGGTAGTTGACATCTCGCTCAGAGCACTGGGCTTGGCACAGCTGAGATCCTGGATTAGAATCCTGGTTTCAGTCACGAGTATAAAATCAGTAACCAAGTTTTGAAGCCCGCAGTAGTGATTTTATGTGTCAACTTGCCCTCCCTTTTCGATGTGGAATTTCCACCACCGATGTATGGCTGTAAACAAGACAGAGGAGCATGGCTGATCAAGAGCCAATAGAATATTACAGATGCTGACAACGTATTACACGCACTGTGCACTTAGCAATATTAATGCTTGTTGTGGACGTCATATACTGACTGATAGTTCATGAAGATTGTCTTCGCCAGGCAAACGTTTTAAAGAAATTTCATCATTAAGCTGATATGATTCTTTCACAATTTTTATCTACGATCAGACGCTAACTACTCCTAACATTTGTTTTTTTTCTGCAAAAAATATTTGCTGGCGACTTGCTTCAACAGAAACCGCTCCATTTAGAGATTCTATTATTTTTCCAGATTATTCAGATTTGAACATAAAATGCTTCTTTATTCATCCAAAACCGCTTTAACCCGAAAGATAAAAAAAAAAATATAGAACAATGGTTCTCGCTTCAACGTTATTTTCGGTTGAGTTCTTTTAAAAACGAAAAAAACCCCGCAATCTTATATTTTGAACGGTTTCTGAATGACACCCACAAACATGTTCATGGGGCACTTAACAATTGAGATTTGGAGGTTTTTAAATAAAATATCTCATATTTTCTTATTTTTATTCCTGTTGTTTGTGTCCGAAAAGCCGTGTACCAAATGTCAACTTTCTACCTGGTCGGGAAGCACCTTGGCGCTTTTTGAGACGTACACATGAAGGCATTTATTTATATACATGGATATCAACAGAGAGCATAACCCACGTGCTGTCAGTCTACATCGATTAATCGAATAGACCAGGGGTCGGGAACCTTTTTGACTGGGAGAGCCATAAAAGCCAAATATTTCAAAATGTATTTCATTGAGAGCCATATAGTATTTTTAACGTATAATAAATTAAATATGTCTTACTTTTAATGCGACTGCTGGTGCTGCATGGTTTTGCTGATGGCCTTGTAGTCTGGTTCATACGACTTGGTGAGGTTGAGCTTCATGCAGGCGTGACCCGTGAAATGTATCTTCAAAACTAATTTCTGTTTACTTTAAAATGACACAGTATTATTAAACAATATCACAAGTATTTTAAAATCAGTTCCAAACAGATTTTGTATTTTTATTATTATTATTTTTTTCAACTCAAAATTGTCTGGGAGCCATATGCCGTCACTGGAAGAGCCATACATATATGGCTCGCGAGCCATAGGTTCCCGACCGCTGGAATATACCGTGGATTATCACTAAGATTGTGATGCATTACATGGAATCGTGTGGGAACACGTTTACATTTACGTCGTTTGCAAACGATTCAATTGACACCGCCAGCCACGAGGCCGATAAATTAAACAAAAACTTTTTTAAACAAAAAAACCTCGCTTCTTGAATCGAATCTGGATACGACGTCGTAGTTGTTATCTTTAAGTACAATCCGGACTGACCAGAGTGGTGAAGTATGGTCAAGACAAAGTTCCCCCGTATAACCTAAGCAGACTGTTGGGGCAAGTGCTGTTAGCGAGAACGCCGGCACTGTGGCACACGAAGTGGGGGTGGGTGGGTGGCCAGCACCACGCCCGGCCGCCTTTGTCTCCCCTAGTGGAGATGTTTACTACACACCTCCACCAGGTACCAATTTGAGGCTGAGTCGACCTAGGGGTGGAGGGGAGGTGAGGCCCAGGACCGCTTCAGATGTTCGTCACTGGGTTGTTGTTGGTGGTGGTGGCCGTGAGTAGGGATGGAACTCGGGTGGCCGACATCGGAGAGCAGCGTGGCGCTAACCGCTGCGCCACCGCTCCCCACAAGTTTGAACCACGTGGGGCGGTGAGGGAGAGGCTTTCATCCAGCAGTGGAGTGATACAAGTGGCCGCACTTGTACAGAGTGTCTGTCCCATAAATGACGTCACAAGATTTTGGACGATTTTTGACCCCCCCCCCCCTTCGTCACACGGCGTCACAAAAAGTCAGACCCCCCCCTCAAATGACGTCACAAAGCTCTGCCCCCCCCCCCCTAAAAAAAACACATGCTTCAAATCGCTTTAAACTATTGTCATTGTAGTGCGTATTTAATGTGGCGCTGCACTCTGATGTTGCAGGAGAAAACATTTATAAAAAAAAGTATATTTAATTAAGTAGAACGTGTTGTCTATATTTATTTAAAGTTGCGCATTTTGATGTGACGTCACATTTCTCACCCCCCCCTCGTCACAAATGTCTGACCCCCCCCCCCTAGGTGCGTGACGTCATTTATGGACGGTCCCCTGGTTATTTAATCCGTAGCACGAAACGTGAGCCACACACAAAGGTAAAGATCCCACCCACCCCCCCCCCCCGTGTAGCCTCAACAGACTGTTGGGGCAAGTGCTCTTCGCGAGTAAGCAGCACGTGTGGGGTGGCCAGCACCACGCAACGCCCGGCCGCCTTTGTCTTCCCCTAAGTAATTTGAGGCCGAGTCGACCTAGGGGGATGGCCCAGGACCGGTTCTGATAATCGTCACTTTGGGTGTTCGTTGGTGGGTGGCCGTGAGCGGGAATCGAACCCCGGAATCGCCGGGTTCAGTAGCGCAGCGTAGCGCTAACCGCTGCGCCACCGCTCCCCGCTACACGTGTCACACAACACACTCGACACGTGTCTTGTGTGTCTTACACGTGTGAGTGGTGTGTGTGTGTGATGTCTGTGTGGTGTGTGTGTGTTGTATGCTATGTGTGTGGTGTGTGTGTGTCTTACACGTGTGGTGTGTGGTGTTTGTGTGTGGTGTGCGTGGTGTTTGTGTGTGGTGTGTGTAGAGTATGTAGAGTGTGTGGTGTTTGTGTGTGGTGTGTGTAGAGTGTGTGGTGTGTGTGTGTGGTGTATGTATACCTTGTACAAGTCGCCATAACGAGAACAATCTGAACATTTGCTTGACTCCGAAGCTGCTGTTGTTTCTTCCCGCGCGTTTTCTTTCTTCCGAGAGAGAGAGAGAGCGAGAGAGGGAGCCCTTGTTACACGTGGGTGGGTGGGTGGTGGTGATGGTGGTGGTGGTGCAGGAGAGAGCGGCCACTGTGTGGCATCACATCCTGTTCCGGCAGAACAGAGGACGAGAAAGAATGAAGCACAAGAGAGGAGAGAGAGAACAGCAAGGAAACCTCGACCCTACAAACACCCGAGTTCGATTCTCGATTGTTATCTGAACCCCTGTCCGAGTAACTCTCCCCTCCCCTAGGTCGACTCAGCCTTAAATGAGTACCTAGGTGCAGCGGTGTGTTTCATATAAGCAGCACTGGGGAGACAAAGGCGGTCGGGCGTGGTGCCGGCCACTCCACTCACTAACAGCACTTGTCCCGAAAGTGTGTTGAGGCTACACGGGTGAGCTTTGTCTTTGTGTATACGTATGTTCATGTGTATGGGGTCGTCCATAAATGACGTCACGCACCTAGGGGGGGTCAGATATTTGTGACGATGTGTGACGAGGGGGGGGGGGGGGGTTGAGAAATGTGACGTCACGTCAAAATGCACAACTTTAAATATAGACAACACGTTCTACTTAAATATATATTTTTTAATAAATGTGTTCTCCTATAACATCAGAGTGCAGCGCCACATTAATACGCACTACAATGACAATAGTTTAAAGCGATTTGAAGCATGTTTTATTTGGGGGGGGGGGGGGCAGAGCTTTGTGACGTCATATTTGAGGGGGGTCTGACTTTTTGTGACGCCGTGTGACGAGGGGGGGGGGGGTCAAAAATCGCGTGACGTCATTTATGGACGGCCCCTATGTGTGTAGGTGCTACTTGCGAAATGCACTTGGCCCTACAGTCTGTTAAGGCTACACATGCATTTAGATTATTTTGTTGCTATAATTTTGCACAGTTCAAAAGTAAGTTAATATCACAGTCCGCTTTACCTGGTAAGATTGTGCAAAGTTTAGTTTTATTTCTATATATATTTCCTACACTTTATTTTTGTATTGTTTTTTTTTTGTAACGTTCTGACCCCCTATTCCTCTCTTCACGGGAGACATTCGGTGTATAAAAGAGCTTCATAGCTCATCGGATTCCTCCAGCCTCGAATAAAAATTCCAATTCTAGATTTGAAGCTTTCGTGACTGCAAGGATTCATACTCTTAGTTTTTTCGGTAAAGTCACGTAGGTAAAAAATGAAATTAAAATTAATAAAAGTAATAATAGAAATGAAATAAAAACAATCACCTGTGATATGAAAACATTTCAATTGTTGAACCCCACGCGGCGCCAGCGACGTCATCGCGCGCACGCGGTGTCGTCATCACGCACGCGGGGAAGTCATTACTTTTACATGGCGACGTCATTACGTGTACGCGGTGACGTCATTCCGTGTACGCGGCGACGTCATTACGTAGACGCGACGACGTCATTACGTAGACGCGGCAACGTCATCACGTAGACGCGGCGACGTCATTACGTGGAAGCGGCGAGGTCACCCCGAATCTATAAATGTCGCCACGCGAAGACGTCACCACGTACGCGGCGACGTTCGTCAGCACACACGCTATGACGTCAGCACGCACGCGGAGGCGTCACCACGCACGCTGAGACGTCAGCATGTACGCTATGACGTCAGCACGCACGCTGGGACGTCATCACGCACGCTGGGACGTGACCACGCACGCTGAGACGTCAGCACGTACGCCATGACATCAGCACGCACGCTGTGACGTCACCACGTACGGCGTCGACGTCAGCACGCACGCTGAGACGTCAGCACGCACGCTGAGACGTCACCACGCACGCGGAGACGTCATCACGCACGCTGGGACGTCACCACGTACGCTGAGACGTCACCACGCACGCTGTGACGTCACCACGTACGGCGTCGACGTCACCACGTACGCCGAGACGTCACCACGCACGCTGTGACGTCACCACGCACGCGGAGACGTCACCACGCACGCTGAGACGTCACCACGCACGCGGAGACGTCACCACGCACGCTGAGACGTCACCACGCACGCGGAGACGTCACCACGCACGCGGCGACGTCACCACGCACGCCACACTAAATCCAGCCTCTTCCTCTCTTCACATCTCCTCCCTAGTGGAAGCTGTAATCTAAAAAAAACCTAAAAAAAACTGTTCAGCATGTGATTTCCGCCGAATCTACTTCGGGCTGAAGAGGGGAGGGGTGGAATACTTCGTAAAAAAAAAATCCTGAATCGCCAGCCGACGTTCCCACTTCGTGTATCATCACCATCATCATCATCACCACCACTGCGATTGTTGTAACATTTGTTCGGGTTGGAGCGAACACCGAAGATACGAGCTTCTCCTGCTGCTGCTGCTGCGATGATGATGATGGTGGTGATGATGAAGATGTCTTTAGAGTCTTAGAGAAGCCGAGCGCTGGTGCTGGTGGTGTTGGTGTGGGATGTTGTGCTGAAGCGGCCCTCACACGGAGTAAGCAATAAGTCTGCCGTGTTGTTGTTGATGTTGCTGCTGTTGTTGTTGTTCTCTCGCTAGTTTATCATTGTTGTGTGTCTGCTAGACACAACGTAGAGTGTGTCACGGTCGTAATCGATGTTAGGTTGGGTGGTGGTCGTTTTGTTGTTGACTCACTCCGCCCGTTTGGTCCATACTTCACCACTGTATGTCACACTACGAGGCGACGGTGTCACACACACTCAAGAGTAGACGGTGTGGTATAGACACCGGTGTCTATACAATGTGGTATAGACACCGGTGTCTATACATGTGGTATAGACACCGGTGTCTATACAATGTGGTATAGACACGGTGTCTATACATTGTGGTATAGACACCGGTGTCTATACAATGTGGTATAGACACCGGTGTCTATACATTGTGGTATAGACACCGGTGTCTATACATTGTGGTATAGACACCGGTGTCTATACAATGTGGTATAGACACCGGTGTCTATACAATGTGGTATAGACACCGGTGTCTATACAATGTGGTGTAGACACCGGTGTCTATACAATGTGGTATAGACACCGGTGTCTATACAATGTGGTATAGACACCGGTGTCTATACAATGTGGTATAGACACCGGTGTCTATACCATGTGGTATAGACACCGGTGTCTATACAATGTGGTATAGACACCGGTGTCTATACAATGTGGTATAGACACCGGTGTCTATACAATGTGGTATAGACACCGGTGTCTATACCATGTGGTATAGACACCGGTGTCTATACATTGTGGTATAGACACCGGTGTCTATACAATGTGGTATAGACACCGGTGTCTATACAATGTGGTATAGACACCGGTGTCTATACAATGTGGTGTAGACACCGGTGTTAGCACACCGGTGTCTATACAATGTGGTATAGACACCGGTGTCTATACATTGTGGTATAGACACCGGTGTCTATACAATGTGGTATAGACACCGGTGTCTATACAATGTGGTATAGACACCGGTGTCTATACAATGTGGTATAGACACCGGTGTCTATACAATGTGGTATAGACACCGGTGTCTATACAATGTGGTATAGACACCGGTGTCTATACAATGTGGTATAGACACCGGTGTCTATACCATGTGGTATAGACACCGGTGTCTATACAATGTGGTATAGACACCGGTGTCTATACAATGTGGTATAGACACCGGTGTCTATACAATGTGGTGTAGACACCGGTGTCTATACAATGTGGTGTAGACACCGGTGTCTATACAATGTGGTATAGACACCGGTGTCTATACAATGTGGTATAGACACCGGTGTCTATACAATGTGGTATAGACACCGGTGTCTATACCATGTGGTATAGACACCGGTGTCTATACAATGTGGTATAGACACCGGTGTCTATACCATGTGGTATAGACACCGGTGTCTATACAATGTGGTATAGACACCGGTGTCTATACAATGTGGTATAGACACCGGTGTCTATACAATGTGGTGTAGACACCGGTGTCTATACAATGTGGTATAGACACCGGTGTCTATACATTGTGGTATAGACACCGGTGTCTATACAATGTGGTATAGACACCGGTGTCTATACAATGTGGTGTAGACACCGGTGTCTATACAATGTGGTGTAGACACCGGTGTCTATACAATGTGGTATAGACACCGGTGTCTATACATTGTGGTATAGACACCGGTGTCTATACAATGTGGTATAGACACCGGTGTCTATACAATGTGGTATAGACACCGGTGTCTATACAATGTGGTATAGACACCGGTGTCTATACAATGTGGTATAGACACCGGTGTCTATACAATGTGGTATAGACACCGGTGTCTATACAATGTGGTATAGACACCGGTGTCTATACAATGTGGTATAGACACCGGTGTCTATACAATGTGGTATAGACACCGGTGTCTATACAATGTGGTATAGACACCGGTGTCTATACATGTGGTATAGACACCGGTGTCTATACAATGTGGTATAGACACCGGTTGTCTATACAATGTGGTATAGACACCGGTGTCTATACAATGTGGTATAGACACCGGGTCTATACAATGTGGTATAGACACCGGTGTCTATACAATGTGGTATAGACACCGGTGTCTATACAATGTGGTATAGACACCGGTGTCTATACAATGTGGTATAGACACCGGTGTCTATACAATGTGGTATAGACACCGGTGTCTATACAATGTGGTATAGACACCGGTGTCTATACAATGTGGTATAGACACCGGTGTCTATACAATGTGGTATAGACACCGGTGTCTATACAATGTGGTATAGACACCGGTGTCTATACAATGTGGTATAGACACCGGTGTCTATACAATGTGGTATAGACACCGGTGTCTATACAATGTGGTATAGACACCGGTGTCTATACAATGTGGTATAGACACCGGTGTCTATACAATGTGGTATAGACACCGGTGTCTATACAATGTGGTATAGACACCGGTGTCTATACAATGTGGTATAGACACCGGTGTCTATACAATGTGGTATAGACACCGGTGTCTATACAATGTGGTATAGACACCGGTGTCTATACAATGTGGTATAGACACCGGTGTCTATACAATGTGGTATAGACACCGGTGTCTATACAATGTGGTATAGACACCGGTGTCTATACAATGTGGTATAGACACCGGTGTCTATACAATGTGGTATAGACACCGGTGTCTATACAATGTGGTATAGACACCGGTGTCTATACAATGTGGTATAGACACCGGTGTCTATACAATGTGGTATAGACACCGGTGTCTATACAATGTGTATAGACACCGGTGTCTATACAATGTGGTGTAGACACCGGTGTCTATACAATGTGGTATAGACACCGGTGTCTATACCATGTGGTATAGACACCGGTGTCTATACAATGTGGTATAGACACCGGTGTCTATACAATGTGGTATAGACACCGGTGTCTATACAATGTGGTATAGACACCGGTGTCTATACAATGTGGTATAGACACCGGTGTCTATACAATGTGGTATAGACACCGGTGTCTATACAATGTGCCACATTGTATAGACACCGGTGTCTATACAATATTGTTCAATTCGCTGCTGGATGAAAGGGCCTTAAAAACCAACGCTGTGTCGTCGTGGGTCGTGCGAGCGTCGTTTGACCATACTTCACCGCCCTGGTCAATGGCGAGTTGTTGTAGTGAAGTGGGATTGTTGTTGTTGTTAGCAGCCGGGGTTGGGACTCGAACTGTGGTCTTCGCAGAACCGTACTTTACTTGGCTGTGAGCCCACGTTGTAACCCAAAAGTTAAAAAAGCTGACTGCTGATCGCCACCGCAAAGTGGAATTCGTTTTATCGACCCGGAGTGATGATGGGCCGAGGCTACGTCCTACGGATTCACGCGTCAATCGCACTTGTTGGCAGTAGTACGGTACCGTATGTCAATAATTATGTAATTTATTTTTCCAGGAAAGCCTCAAGACTCGATGTAATACAATCAAGCTTATGTTAAAAATGCAGGACAGTATGTATTGTATTGACATTTCTAGTATTCCTGATATACTTTATATATATAGACTTACATAGACTTGTATAGACTTTTGCGTTTTGTCTCCAGTCAAACTGTCTTATAACTGACATGAAACAGGTTCTGAAAAGGGAGCTATTACAGCTCAGTTGGCCTTACCTGTTAAAATAAAATAAAACCATGTTGAAACCTCTTGCTATTACCACTATATAGAGTTTGAATCTCAGAAGCCAAGCAAGGGTAGCTCTCAGCCTGGCAAGCACCTGGATTGGTATCTACCACCAACACCAACCAACCACGTGGTTTGCCACAGGGTTTGTGGTGGAGGCGCTGCGAGGTGTGCACCTGGAGGTTGTCAGTGCCACTGTGTAAACCCCCTTCCTATTCTTTGGTTTTTTCGGTAAAGTCACGTAGGTAAAACATTTAAATAAATTAAACCACGACGTTTCGGGCGCAACACAAGCGTCCTCCTTCAGGTGGGGACAACTTAGCGAAAGCACAACTGCTTAAGTGTGTCCTACACCAAAGAGTATGAATCCTTGCAGTCACGAAAACTTCAAATCTAGAATTAACCCCCTTCCTACACAGCGTGCACGACTTGGGGTTTTTGGGTTCGATCGCTTAAGTATATGAATGTGTGGTTAAACCCGCCACCACCCGACACAGCCAATGTTGGTAAGGTTTGTCACGTAAACAGAACACGCCAATTCGTTACAATCTGAGCACTCAGATTGTAAATGTTGTGGCTTTGCTCGAATTGGCGTGTTCTGTTTACATGACAAACCTTGATAATTGGCTATGTCGGGTGGTGGTGGGTTTAACGACACATTTTTACGCGATATAACCCAAAAAAACCCTGTATTATGGATGATATTGGTCGTGAAAGTCTACGTGTTAAACTGACTTGGGTTTGTCTCTCCGGGTTCCGAAGAACCACCCGCACGGAGCCAGACTCTCATTCGTGGAATTTGGCGAAACGTCGCAACGTAGCCGGGACCCTCCTGAATTTTAACTCGAAAACACTTAAGGATCTCCATGCCACAAGACGTTTCTAGCGTTAATAATAATATTTGACATTTATAAAGCGCCCTTAAACAATCGTTATCCGGCCGCTATGCATGGAAATGCAGAAAATAGTTTAACAGCCACCAAGGAAAGAAGTCAGAATGACGTTTGAAAATAACTAAAGAGAGAGAGACATTTTAAACGGATATATTTTTAGTCGAGATTTGTAGTGCCTCTAAGTCCCGACCTCGACGGGGCAAGGAGTTCCAGAGTTGAGGTGCGGCAATTGCGAAGTCACCGCCACTCCATTTGTGAAGCCTAGACCGTGGTGGCGGTGAGCAAAGCACAATCTGAGGATCCTCATGATCTTGATGGAAAATATATGGCTGAATGAAGTCATAAATGTAGTGAGGAGCAAGCCCATTTAAGGCCTTGAATATGAGCAAGAAAATATTAAAATCAGTGAAGGGACAGGAGCATAGGTGTGATGTGATTCTTAAAGTTTGTACCAGTTAGCACCCTGGCGGCCGCATTTTGAACGTACTGCGGCCTGTTTAGGAGCTTGCTCAGGGTCAATGCAGGATAAAACAAATGCGTGGAGCAGTCTTTCGTTGTCTGCACTTGGAAGGATGTGACTGAGCCGTTGTACATTGGCCATCCGCACATTCAATATTTTTACTGTATAATACAGTCGGAAAGAAAATGTATAGAGTTAAGTTGGGTTTGGCTCGGACACATCGCTAGACGGGATGATGGCACATGGACAAGAATTGTGATGGAACGGCATCCAAAGTAGATAATTCGTCAGAGGCCCGGCCACCATGGAGATGGAGCGATGAGATCAGTTCATGCGCAGGAGCGAGCTAGATGGACGGTAGCCGCAGTGAACCGTGCGGGGTGGTGACGGCGTGGGGAGTCGAATAGTCAGTGGCTGACCATTATAAAAACAATTGTGCTATCTGTCATTGATTATTCATTGCAATCTTTGACATGACCGCATCGCTGAGATGGTTTCACCTTCTTGAAGCACGCAGATCGCCGCGGAGTCAAAGGAGGAGAAGCCATGGAGACGTCGGTTTCACACGCGGGGAGTACCACGCACGTGAGCTTCGTGTGCCAGCGCTGCAACCAGCCGCTCAAGCTGGACACATCGTTCGACACGCTCGACAATCACACGACCGGCGAGCTCACAGGCAAGCCTCCTGTTTCTCGACGTCGCATTCCCACAGCTGCGCTCTGTGTGTGTGTAGTAACACGTGGGGAGCACTAGTGTAAGTGGTTAATGAATTGCACTCCAAACCAGGTGACTCACGTCCAATACCCCCTAAACTTAGATTTAAAACTCATTTCTTTGGAGCTATTTTTTGTGTTTAGATTGCTGTCTTTGCCCCTGAAAATCCGATTAGCATGGTTGGATGCGTACGTTGCGGGCGAAGTTCAACATACATACATGCAATGGCCAACGTCAGTAGATCAAATTTGCCTGTCCGCCTGATGACGCTAGTTGTAATTACTGGCGAAACGTACTCGGATTGTAAATGTAGATTTGCTCTCCAACACACCGGTGTGCTGTGCTAGTAACGAATCAGGCATGTTCTGTTTACGTTACAAACCTTACTAATTGGCTGTGTCGGGTGGTGGCAGGTTTAACGACACATTTATACTTATGCGATCTAACCCAAAAAATATATATTATGGATAAGTAGATGAATGCACGAATCGGTGGTGGGCCTGCCCAAGGCCGACTCAGCCTTGGCACGCCGTGTTACGAACCTGATGACTCGGGTTGATGATTCAGGTTCGATTCCTGGATATGGATCATATTGGTGATCAGTGATTTGAGAATTCGTCCTGGGCCCTCCCCTAGGCTAACTTGGACTTAAATGAGCATCTCGTGCAGTGTGGAAACTTCAACACTGGGGAGATAAAAGGCAACCGGGCATGATGCTACCCTCACCACCCTCTTGTGTGCCCGTGTTGGCCTTCATAGGTGCTCAATAACAGCCTACAGGGGATCTTTGTTTCGTGGCAACGGGAGGCCACTCCATGCGGACGGTGGCACGACTGAGTGGTAGCCCATTTGCCACTTGTTACAGATGTACTCTGTTCGAGCCCAGCGGCCACCCTGGTTCATACTGTGGATGTATTACCACAATCTTAAGATTGTAAATTGCACTTTTTACCCATGTATTTGAAAGGAAAAGTTGGTGGTATCTTGCAATCCGGTACTTTGTGTGTGTGTGAGACCTTATTTGTATTACGCAATTGAAACTGGGGACATGTTTGGGCTGCATTTGACTTTCCGGCGGATCTTGTAATCTGAAGAATGTGGTGACCATAAAATACACGCAATCTGCTTCATATAGGTGTGCATTAAAGGTTCTATGAAGTTATTTAAACGAGTTAGGTCGTGTGCACTGGTGTCACGGTCCATTTGCCACATTTTTAAACATTTCCTGTAAATTACTTAATTGGGTTAAACCACATAACAAGATCACTTCTCACTGGCAGACTCTTAATTGTCTGTGAAACAGCGCCTTCGTGATAGCCTCACGTTCTACGAACGTAATGTATACTGCATGTTCCAATTCGATTTTATTGACTCCCAAAGGGTCAGATTTCATGTAAATTTTTCTAGTACCTGGGATTCCAGTGTGTACGGAACTACAGCTAAGGCGTAAAATACATCTGTTGTGAACATATTCTCAATGAAGTTGTGTAATAATTTTAATTACACTAATACATTTTTTTTTTTTCCTGGGTAGAAGTGTTATTTCCTAATTGCTTATGCCTCAAAAGTACATAAAATGGCTATTATTCCCCACAAACTTTGCTTTTGTGACCAGGACAGTGATACTTATGAAATTTACCTGTTTATCAGAACATTATAGATAGATTAAGTGCTGAGTAAACTTGGAGTAACTTCTAGAACATTCTAGAACTTTCCAGTAATATAATAGTAGTATAAATACAGGGGCCTTAAAGCCCACCAGTTCAGCTTAGTTCCAGCTGCCTAAGTGGATACATATCTGCATTTTTCTGAGATGGCATCAAGAGGCTGCAGGCAAACACATTTTGCTATGTCTGCGGCCAATTTATCAAGACAAGAGCGAAAAAGTACTCAGTGGAAGCATCTGCTAAGATGTGTGAGGCCTACAAGGCATATTTCCACTGACCACTCAAGCAACTACTACTTCTGCATGGTGGACCCTTCCAATCGTCGGACTGGCAAGAATGCACCTGCTATCACGGATCCGGACCTTCCTTCATCCATTGCCTCGGGGCCCCACTGCCATGAGCTCCTCGTACCCACTCCTCCGAAGAGAGAGCAGCCATCTTTAGAAGAGAGCAGCAATTCAGAGAGCGAGGAAGACGTAGATCCAGATGACAATTTCAGAGGTGGAGCTGAGGAGAGAAACCCATACTACCCTAACCAAAAATACCTCAACGACTTGATCACAGATCTTGGTCTTACCAAGTCCAATGCCGAGCTTTTGACGTCTAGGCTCAAGCAGTTGAACTTGTTGGATAAAGTGTGCAAGTCGCAGATCAGAGGAAGCGCCACCAACCTTTTTGCAGCTTCTTCACTCGTCAAGATGGGCTTTGCTTCTGCCACAATGTGACCAGTCTGTTCGAGGCAATCGGAATCGCCGTATAACCAGAATGAGTGGCGCCTCTTCATTGACAGCTCATCCAGGAGCCTCAAAGCCGTGCTGCTCCATAATGGTAACAAGTACCCGTCTCTTCCCCTGGCTCACTCGGTGCACCTCAAAGAGGATTGCAACAGCATCAAGACCTTGCTGGACACCTTTAAGTATGATGAGTACGGCTGGGAGGTCATCGGAGACTTCACAATGGTGGCATTCCTGATGGATTTCCAAGGCGGTTTTACCAAGTTTCCCAACTATCTTTGTTTTTGGTACAGCAGGGACACCAAGGCGCACTATCACAGGCAGGTACTAGCTACAGCAGACCGAGTTTTCTGTGGGGAGGAACAACGTCAAGTGGAAGCCACCGGTGGACCTCCGAAAGGTGCTAATGCCACAACTGCACATCAAATTGGGCCTTATGGAACAATTTGTCAGAGCTGTAGATAAGGAGTCGACAGCCTTCAAGTACCTTCAAGACTTCTTCCCTAAGCTGAGGCAAAGGTCAAAGCCGGTGTCTACGTCGGACCACAGATAAAGAAGATCCTGGAGTGCAAAGAATTTTCCAAGAAGCTCACTAGTAAGAAGAAAGCGGCTTGGAACAGCTTTGTCGAAGTGGTTCTTGGCTTCCTGGGCAATCACAAGGTCGAAAACTATGGAGCTGGTTCAGACTTTGGTGAAGAACTACGGCACAATGGGCTGTAGGATGTCCCTCAAAGACCATATCCTTGATGCTCATCTTTTTAAATTCAAAGAGAACATGGGAGCGTACTCGGAGGAGCAAGTCGAGCGCTTCCACCAGGATATACTGGACTTTGAACGCCGCTACCAAGCACAGTATAACGAGAACATGATGGGAGCCTACATTTGGGGGCTGATTCGTGAAAGTGATTTACAATATAATCGTAAATCTCGAAAAACTATTCCCTTAAAAATATTTTGTCGTCATTTTTGTATTACTTTAGTATAAATACATATTTATTTTGATTCATATGTTGTTTTTTCTGACTTTATGTGAATGAAAAGACACAACTTTTCCCGTTTTCTCATTGAAATTAGGTACATTTTGAAATTTTACTGTCCTGGTCACAAAAGCAAAGTTTGTGGGGCATAATAGCTATTTTAAAATACTTTTTAGGCATAAGCAATTACTTTCTACCCAGGAACAAAAATTGTGTTACTTCGTGTTATCATTGCCACTAGGCATGCTCCAAACGGGGAGAGATGCCAGCCCAGAGGACGCAATTGAAAGGCCTCCCTCTCTAATCTTGCACGCGCGTCCCCTCGTTGGTCGTGTGATGAGCTCAATAAAAACTAAATTATTATTGCCAGGAGCTGAACACATACAGAAAATGAGACTTAAGCCCAGTTGAATGATAAGCACGTTTTTTTTAATGTATGCACATGCTGGGATGCCATGGTGGTGAGATGTTAACTATCTCGCCCGGTATACAGGAGGTCGTGGGTTCGATCCCGACCCTGACGTCTGTATATTTGGAGTTGACGTGTCTCTCTCCCCGTGGTCATGTGGATATTTCTGCAGGTTCTTCACTTTTTCCCTCCACATATAGTGTAGTCGGCCTTACCTGGTAAAATCAAACATTGTTCAGTTTTAATAGAACATGTAGGTGTAATTTTTAATTGACGTTTTGTGTGTTTTTTTGCAGCCCCCCTTGTGACGGTCACACCGGTGACGAGAGAAGACCCAAGTGTGGACATAGACGTGACCAATGAGGTGTGTACGAATGTGCAACATTCGTTGACTGAGAATTATTATTGAACGATAGATCAACAACAGCAACAAACAAAAACTGCTTTTTGTATTCAGTGTGTTGTCCTTTCCCCCCGCACTTCCGATTATCATGGTTGGCTACGTACGGCGCGAAAAAAGTTCAACATACGTACATATTTATAATGTGCCCATAACGTAACAAACATCTCTTGAGTGTACTTATAAGTCCACTTATCGTACGGTCAATATGATATAACTAACTATCATTGTGTTTTATAATGGACTGTGTTCCTCTCTCTGTGTGTCAGTGTTATTCCAAGCATGTACCTCCCCATGCTTTATTGTGCACTTTTCAACTTCTTTCCATACCTGTCAACTCCTTATCAGTGGCCTACCTTATTACAGACCAATTCAGACCTTATTGGTCACCCCGTGCCCTTATAAATCTCAGGGTTCATCCTACAACGTCCCATCACAAGGGAGAAACACAAACAAATAGACATTTTTTTGCCCGTATTGAAACGGCTGTACACCGTATGGACTTGAAAACGCAATTTCCCTGTTTACAAGAATATGATAAACCGTATGGGTTGACAGGTATGTGCTTTCTCCCATTTCCTTTCTCAATGTGCGTGTTCCTCAAGTGTACATCATAACAGGTGACATACTGATTTTATGCAGTGGACAAATTTGTTTGCTGGTTTTCATGGTCAAGTTCAATTTTTCATAAGCATTGTAATCACCTCTCGTCTGCATCTTTATAACCTAACTGTTGGCTGAGTCCCCTGTCAATGAGCTGCCTTAGGTACACATCCTCTGCTGTTTTCCCATTGGGTTCCCTCTGATAGAAATCTCCAGTCGAGTGAACTTGTTCTGCATGACCTCTATTGTGTAATCTCCTAACTATTTCTGCATTATCATTATTATTTATAAGAATATATTTTGCTGATATATTCTTTGAGATGGAACATCTTGTTTGCAAGGGCGCTTTGGTTGTATGTATGTATCTTTAACTTCTTTTGCACCGTACGTATGCCAACTGTGCTAATCAGGAAAGACAAGAAACTAAATACAAAAACCAGTTATAAAGAAATTAGTTATCAAACTAGATAATATAAAGGTGCACAGCTCCAGTGGCTTCTTAATATTGGAAGGAAGAGCGTTTCAAAAGGCCGCAAAAGCGCATTCAGAAGCGCGCGATGCCGTGTGACCGTCTTTGTTCGATGGCCAAAATTGTCCAAATATAATTTGTAGCTTTTGTTTGATGGATCGGAGACGATGGCGAATAGCAACAATAACAGTGAGTGGTCGGATCAGTCGAGACACTGCTGGGCTATGTGCTGATGTCACATGTTTGACGGCAGGGCCCCTACACGACACACGGATGCCTGGACGAGAGGCGATGCGATGGCGTGGTGCACAAGACCATACCGCCAGCCAGGTCATTGATTGTTTTTTGTTCAGTTATTTTAAAGCTGGCAATACTGAGCGGCGTGCGTACTGATAACACTGAGCGGCGGGTGTACAGCAGATAACGCTGAACAGCGTGGGTACAGCAGGTAACGTTGAGTGGCGTGGGTACAGCAGGTAACGCTGAACAGCGTACGTACAGCAGGTAACACTTGAGTGGCGTACGTACAGCAGGTAACGCTTAACAGCGTGGGTACAGCAGGTAACGCTGAGTGGCGTGCATACAGGTAACACTGAGTGGCGTGCGTACAGCAGGTAACACTTTAGTGGCGTGCGTACAGGTAACACTGAGTGGCGTGGGTACAGCAGGTAACACTGAGTGGCGTGGGTACAGGTAACACTGAGTGGCGTGGGTACAGCAGGTAACACTGAGTGGCGTGGGTACAGGTAACACTGAGTGGCGTGGGTACAGCAGGTAACACTGAGTGGCGTGCGTACAGCAGGTAACACTTTAGTGGCGTGCGTACAGGTAACACTGAGTGGCGTGCGTACAGGTAACACTGAGTGGCATGCGTACAGCAGGTAACACTTTAGTGGTGTGCGTACAGGTAACACTGAGTGGCGTGGGTACAGCAGGTAACGCTGAGTGGCGTGAGGTATAGGCTGCTGCGGAGCTCTGTTGCGGGCAGCAGAGGGCAGTGCAGATGAATTAATTGAACATCCATGTTGATGCCCGTTTCCACCAACTCGCCGCCCACCGGCGTGGTGCAGCATCGCCAAATAACCCGCCCCACGGCCCTCACACAGAAGCCTTCATCCATCAGTGGTTTGACCAAGGGGCTGAAAATGGTCATTGTGTGACGAGATAAAGGTTATAAAGCATTTTTAGAATTCTTTAACAGAGTGCTGCCTAATCACGTATTTCGTTAGAGAACAATCCACGGAAGGTGACGTTACAGAACTATGTCTGAGCGCTTTTCAAGTGACCACTTATCCACGCTAGGGCCTCTGGCAATTTCACACGTGATAATCTGCGGAAGTTTTTAATTGCATGATTGTTCAATAAAAATATATTGAGAGCTGCGCGTGTGCCAGTGCGGGCTGTTGTAATCATCTCAGTCAGTTGACCCATGGAACCTGGGTGTGCCCCGTGACCTCCTGCCGGCGGGCGTTCGACACTTCACGTGGCCTTAACGTGCACATGGCCTGGCACAAGCGCCATGGTGACATCACCGCCACTTAGTGGCGAATGCCGGTTGTTGTTGTTGGCTGTTGTAATCGTGGCACCGTGCCCCTGTAAAGGCGTTTTGTGTGTGGATCCGGCAGGATGATGTCCATGGAGAGTGCCAACAGCTTCACGCTGATAGGGGAGGCGTCCGACGGGGGCGTAACGGAACACCTGAGTCGCAGGATCAAGGTAACGGCCGCGCAAGTCACTCGCCGTCTGGTGTGTGCGATGCTGTGCTCGTCGCACATTGATAAGGAAAGAACCACATGGCGAAATCGCTTCCCTGCTTGCAACCCGTGCCAATTTGGAGGCCGGTGCTGGGTATAATTTGTGCCGTACGGGGACAGCTGTCACTGTGGGGGTGAGGGGGTCCCCTTGGTTCAAGGGTCAGCAACCAAAATAACACGAAGAGCCATTTCTTTCCAATTTGGTAAAAAAAAAACAATATTTCAAGAGCCGCAATCAATGCACGTGAATAACGTCTCGCCAAGCGATCCTTAAACAGCCGCATGTGGCTCCGGAGCCACAGGTTTGCCGACCTCTGCCTTGAATAAACCGCAGGCAGCAGGGGATTACAATGTTTCAGATGAGACGTGATGTAAAGTGCTTCCCGTTGCTGAGGCGTTAAAGCAAGTTGGCCTATATATGCCGCCGCTGGACCAAAATCCTCCGCGCAGATCGCTGCCCGAGAAGCCAGTCCGCACCTGCCTGAAATCACCTGCAGCTACTTTATCCATATCCAAGCGAGTAGTTGCGCAACAAGGAAATGAAATGGCGCATTCGGGAATATAACAACCAATCATGGTTAACATATGGGCACGAGATGGATGACGTCGCAACAAATTGCTGAACTGTGACTGGTTCTTCAACTGCTTGCAACTTGTTGCAACTCGGCCACATGCAGAAGAGTTGCACAACTGGTTGCGCAGGTGTGGACCACGGTTTAAGGTTGCGTACCAATTGCGATCTGTGCCCCGCCTCCCCCTCTCTTGCGTGCTTGTGTAGGTGATGAGCGACCTGTTTGACATCATGTCCGGCCAGACGGAGGTTGACCACCCGTTGTGCGAGGAGTGCACGGACAACCTCCTTGACCAGATGGACCAGCAGCTCAAGGTCACGGAGGACGAGTGTCAGGACTACAGGTGGAGATGGCAGTCGACGTCGTCGTCGATGGCATTGTTGCTGTTGTTGTTGTGCACGGTCGAAGATTTCTTCAGGAATTTAATTTGAAGAAGTGCATTTTCTGGAACTCAATTTCGGTTTCTGGAGGAGCATCCGGCACGTAGAGCGAAACGTCGGACATGGATGTATGTTTGTTGAACTTCTTTTGCGCTGTACGAAGCCAACAGTGCTAATCGGAGGTGCGGAAGACAACACGCTTAAACATTAAAACAGTTGAAAAGAAATTAGCTTTTCAATTTAGATTATTTAAAAGCGTTTAGCTCCAGTGGCTTCCTAATATCGGAAGGAAGAGCGTTCAACAGCTCGTCGTCAATTGTAGCTGTCTGACATGTGACTGCCCTGCTGAAAGAGATATCTTGGCTTGCGTGCGCAGCTGGGAGTTTGACCTGGTTGGCATTACATTGACACCTTTGTCACGTGTTGATTTCTGCACGTGGTTAACCTTGTTGTTCACGAGTGTCTACATTGGGGGTGAGCCCCTCTGATGTAAGTGTGTAATTCCTGTACAGTGGTGTGAGATGCAATTGTATGAATAATGCTTTACAAATTTAATTACCGTTGCGATTATACAAAATGTCAGACGTGCGTTTATAATCACTTGGAATACCACGGCATATCAAGAGCCACTTGCGAAAAATTTCACGATTTTTTTTTTTTACAAGAAGGTCCTAGCATGTGTAGCGAAGGTTTATGGAAACTTCAAGACATCATGCGACACATCCGACATCGTACATTTATTAATTGCTTAAATTCCGTGGCATCCCGGAGCCACTTCAAATCAAATTCGGGAACTGAATTTAATTTCCCGAAGAGGCTCCGAGCACGTGGGGCAAAACGTTGGAACGTGGTGCCAAACAACAAATCGCAAAGCCTGTACAGCAAAGATAAAGATCCCCCGTATAGCCTTAACAGGCTGTTGGGGCAAGTGCTGTTAGCGAGCAGCTTTGAAGGCCGGCCCATCACACGAGGAGGTGGGTGGCCAACACCACGTCCGGCCGCTGTTGTCTCCCCAGTGGCGATGTTTACACACCGCACCAGGTACTCGTCTGAGTCGACCTAGGGGAGGCCCACGACCGGTTAAAATAATCGTCACTGGTGTTGGCCGTGAGCGGGAATCAAACCGGGGTCGCCAGGTTCGTAGCGCAGTGCGCTAACCGTTACACCACCACTCCCCACGGCACAACCATGAATATCCACGCAGCAGCGCGAGCCAGACGGGGGGGGGGGGGGGGGGTCCTGGAAGGCAACATTGGCACCTTGTCATTCGGCGCAGGATAAATCGCCCTACCCTGGGGGGGGCGAAGCCTTCTGGAGTGCAGCCCCAAAAATCTGGAACACCCCACCTTGCCTGCCTGCCACCGGACATCCGAAACACGCTGATGTCTCTCAATCAACGTGCTACTGGACGTCTGTGAAAAAGAGCTTCATAGCTCATCGGATTCCTCCAGTATAAATTAATATTCTGGTTCTGATTCCGACTTGGCTTTCCACAAAATCAACAACTTTACATACAAACCGTCTCTTTACCTTTCATACATTTTTATTTACAACTTAACTTGCTTGTGCGATTTGTTGCACGCGGTTGAAATTTACTTTGCTTGGTTGGTGTCAACCGATGAGGTCCTGACGGTTTTTTGTCTTTCATTCCTGTAACCATTCCCGATCCGCCGTAATGCACACCGACGCTCACTTTATTGAGGGTGATATTAGCACGCAAAATAAAGATCATCATCGTCATCATTACAATCCATGGGCAGACAGTCCATGTATTGTTTCCACTTTCCTCTGTTATATGCTCAAGTAGTGGCCACATCTTTCTGGCAACAATTTCTTACGATGTCGTCGTCAAGCCGTTCTCTGTTAGATCTTCCTCTCTTTCCGGGTTCCGTCCATTTTCCCCCGAACAACACACTTTTACCTTTTTCTTTTGTCGATCCTACAAGGGATTGGATTTGTTCTTTATTTTCTCTTCTCACCAGGGATTTCCTCAAGCGCCTGGATTACACCGCCGGCGAGGTGGGCTGCTCCGAGATGGCGCACGGCGGTGACGAGCAGAGCCTGCAGTCGGAGCTCGCGTTTCTCCGCACTGAGGAGGCCGGGCTCATCGCTCAGCTGGAGGAGGTGGAGGGCGAGCGAAGGCAGCTGGCCCAGCAGATGGCTCACCTCAAGACTGAGGCCGCACAGCTTGGCCACCAGGAGGAGAAGTACGTTGAGTGCGAGTGTGTGGGTCAGTCACGCGTACTGTGGGGAGCGGTCGTGTCGCGGTTAGCGCGCTGCGCTACCAACCCGGCGTATCCGAGTTCGAGTCCCGCTCACGGCCAACACCAGTGACGATTATCTGAACAGGTCCTGGGCCTCCCCTAGGTCGACTCAGCCTCAAATGAGTACTTAGTGCAGTGTGTTAACATCACCACTAGGGAGACAAAGGCGGTCGGGCGTTGCGCCACCCACTCTCTCGTGTGCCATCCTGCCAGCCTTCATAGGTGCACGCTAACAGCACTTGCCCCAAAAGTCTATTAAGGCTATCCGGGGGATCTATGTCTTTGTCAGTCGCGCATTCTGTGAGGCGACCGTGGTGGCGAGATTTTTTAACTACCTTGCCGGGTATGCAGGAGGTCGTGAATTCCACGTTGAAAGGGAATGCAAGTCTACACATGAGACAGTGCGGTTAACTTCCAAACGTGGTACTCATTTTATACTGGTCACTGAAATTTGAATTCATGATCTCAGCTGTGCCAGCTCAATGCTTTGAGCGAGATGTTAATTACCTCACCTGGTATGCAGGAGGTTGTGGGTGAGATCCTGACCCTGAATGCCTGTTGTATGTTTGGGGTTTGCATGTTCTTCTCATGATCGCGTAGTTTTTTTCTCCGGGTCCTCCTTGTTTTCCCGCCATGTTTAGAATCCGCTTGCGTCTAGAGTATTTGGCTGCTGTAGATTTCCACATGATAAGCCACTTCATTGAGGCTATCATTTGTGGCCAGGCCAGTGACGATTATCTGAACCGTTTCTGGGCCTCATTTAGGCTGAGACTCTGCCTCAAATGAGACTCGGCCTCAAATGAGTATGTGGGGGAGACAAATGCGGCCAGGCGTGATGCCGGCCACCCACACCCCTTCCTGTACCGTTCCGGCCTTTTATAGGTGCTGCTTGCTAACAGCACTTGCCCCAACAGTCTGTTAAGGCTATACGGTGAGGGGGGGATCTTTGTCTTGGTCTTGAAGGTACCAGCACGAGTACAGCGAGCTGAAGCGTCAGTTGCTGGAGTGCGAGGACGACCAGCGCTCCGTCGATAACCAGCTGCGCCATGCACAGATGCAGCTCGACAAACTCAAGAAAACCAACGTCTTCAATGCCACCTTCCACATATGGTGCGGTAAACCCTCCTATAGTCCCAGGCAACGTACGCATCTTCACCCTTGCGCCTGCTCCTTTCGAGTGCAATATTATCTTGGCAGCCAGGCATCAGGACGCATTCCGACCCTTTCCCGTTGCAAGTTGCAGGGTGGGGAGGTCTCGTTCACCGCTGAATATCGTAATGCACAAGTGCCTCAGCGTTAATTTTGTTTAGACTATCCGTAGCACCATTGTTTTTAAAGACATTGTACTCCCTGCAGAGAATTATAGTGACAAGATCGCACTCGATGATAGCTGGCACCAAACAGTGCCACACGCCCTCTCCCGCATGGCCTTGTGGGAGCCTCAATACCGATAAAGTTACTTTAGTTTTTCTTTCGGTTCTGTTCCGATGGCGCACGTGTACGGTTTTTCCTCATTTAAAAACATGCGTTTAGAGTATTTGGCTGATATCAATTTCCACATGATAAGCCACTTCGTTGAGCTATCATTTGTGGCCAGGTCACTTCTGAAAAAGAGCTACATAGCTCAGTGGACCTTACTTGGTAAATGCATCCTAAATCTACCACCACCAATTCGTAAGGTTTGTCATGTAAACAAAACGTGAAAATTAGTTACTACTTCAGCACACCGGTGTGTTGGAGAGTAAACCGGCAACATTTATATTTTGAGTATGATGCAATCTAACCCAAAAAAACCTTTATTGTGAAGAATATTGGTCACGAAAGCCTACTTGTTAAACCCGGTAAAAATAAAACGTAAAAAATGGTTGAGTTTAGTTTACATACGCTGCGTGGGTGGCGGTGCTTATCTTTTGTAGGCACAGCGGGCATTTTGGCACGATCAACAACTTCCGCCTGGGCCGCCTGCCCAGCGTCCCCGTGGAGTGGAGCGAGATCAACGCCGCGTGGGGTCAGACCGTGCTGCTGCTCCACGCTCTCGCCAACAAGATGGGGCTGCACTTCCAGCGGTGAGCAGCACGCCAGGGGGTCCAACCCCCCCCCCACGTTCCACAGGAATGCCTCGCGCACGGTACATCGTGCGACATGGAGGGGGGGTCCACGGTCATCACGTCATCCGTTTTGGCGGAACGTTGTTGCGATGGCTAGCCATCGGACAAAGACGGTCGCCGCAATCGTGCGCTTCCCAATACGCTTCTGCGGCCGTCTGGAACGCTCTTCCCTCCGATATTAGGAAGCCACTGGAGCTATGTACCTTTAAATCTAGATTGAATACTCATTTCTTTTGAACTGCTTTTTGTGGTTAGTTTGTTGTCCTTCCCCCGTGCCTCCGATTCGCCCGGTTGGATACGTATGGTGCGAAATAAGTTCAACATACATGATATTGTCATGACATCTTCTTGGTTCTTTCGGTAAAGTCACGTAGAAGGGAAATAATAAAATAATAAAAATAAAACCTAATTAAATTGTTTGATTTTTATTATTAAATTTTTTCCCTTCTACGTGACTTTACCGAAAGAACCAAGAAGATGAATCCCTGCAGTCACGAAAGCTTTAAATCGAAATTATCATGACAGTTGTATGTTTTGTCTTGAACAAAAAAGTTTAACTTTTCCTCGCAAAATCGTTGTTATTAAATGTGAAAAGTACAATCATTGGAGGTGTGAAATAGATAACGGTTTCCCATTGAAATGGTGCTTTGGTAAATGGCTTTTAGGCATGATGGTTAAATTAAATAATAATTTTCGGGAAATAATTAATAAATTATGCTTACGACTTACTGACGGCGTGTGTGCATTCTCAGCGTGATGGGTTGTAAAGTTGCAACGATCACAAGCGTAGTTACACCTCCCTTAAGAATGATTACTCCTCCCTTAGGGTTGTAGCTATTTTTGTTCTGAAAATAAATATGTTGAACCAGGGGCGGTTTCTTCATTAGGGCGATTGGGCGACGCACCACCAATGTCATTCAACCACAGAGTCACGCTAGCCGTCACTGTCAGCCTCTGGATATAGTCCAATCAGCGTCATGTCACGTTCTGTGGAGTACCGCCTCTTTTTGGGCGATTTCCCTCCGGCTGAGAATCGCCCCGAGTGGCCCCATAGACTTACATTGAAAGATGTTTTTTTTCGACCGGGGGGCGCTCCAATGCATTCTCTATGGCTTCCGGGAGGGCAAGCCCTAACGTGCTTACGTCATCATACGTGCTTACGTCATCATACGTGCTAACGTCATCATACGTAAGCACGTTTCATCCAACAATATAATTTATCGCCACCGAGTGGAATCTTTAATAAAATAAACTTGAGTGGTTTGTTTTAATAGTGAGTATAGAAACAAACAAGATGTATTGTAAGAGTCACTTTATTTTTCATTAATATTAAAGAAGTGAAGTTGCCTTTACATGCTTAAGCTGTTAATTTATCCATTGCATGGGTGGACCTTATCCTTATCAATCATCCAGACATTTGCCCCCCCTGAGAGATTTTGCAGGAGCCGCCACTGTGTTGAACCACCCTAATATTAAAGCTTTTAGTACCCATTTAATGTCTTCTAGAATTGGGACAATGAAATCCATGACAAAAAAGCATGTGTTCCTGTGTTAGATACATTTATTATTTGATATATATTTATTTTTACAGATACCGTCTGGTACCATATGGGAACCACTCCTTCTTGGAATCACTCACTGACAAATCAAAGGTGAGTTTAGATCGGTTCATAAACAAGCAACTAACATTACACGGATGTTTCCGGTCGGTACGCTTAGCTATGAAGACAAATGGTACATGTGCACGGATTCTGCAATGCTTTCCAACATGCCTCGGAAGAGTTTAAATAGCAACAGTAACGTTCCGTTCTCAGCCGTGCATTGAGATGTCACACAGCGCTTAACTTGCAAGGTTACAAGATGGTGTCGTACGTAATGACGTCATTGTTTTGGCCGTCAGTGTGATTACTTATAGCTCTGATTCTTTTTTTTATCACTGAGTTATGGGCAAACCTTTTGATCAATTCACCCAGTTTTTCTCTAGGGTAAGTTCCTCATAGCAACACAACTTTACACTAACATTGTGTTAATATGTGATCTTTATTACAGTTTTTATTTGGATTAGATCGCGTAAATATAAATGTGTCGTTAAACCTGCCACACCCAACACAGCCAATTAGTAAGGTTTGTAATTGTCTGTGTCGGTTGGTGGTGGGTTTAATGACGCATTTATATTTATGCGATCTAACCCAATAAAACAAAAACCTGTATTATGGATGATATTGGTCGCGAAAACCTACATGTTATTTGAGGTTTATGAGAGTTGTCGCACACCACCCCCACTGTTACAGAAACAAAGGGAGCTGTCGCTCGAACACTTTCAACCTTAATTGGAAATAAATAATTTTCAAAATGTGTAGAATGTCACAGCTCCTGCCTACGGCGGCCTTACACAGAGAGGTGCGATTTTTGAGAAAGCAATACGGAAAAATTAGGCACGTAAATATTCTGCGTTTGTGTGCGCTATGGATGTCAATGTAGGAACTGCCTCTGTTTGGTTTTGGTTGGTTTTGTGGAGCGGTAGTGCAGTGGTTAGCGCACTGCTACGAACCCAGCGAACCCGAGTTGAATTCATACTCACGACCAACACCAGTGACGATTTTCTGAACCAGTCTTGGGCCTCACCCACGGTCGATTCTGCTTTAAATGAGTACTTGGTGTGAAGTGTAAATGTGAGCATTGGGGAGACAAAGGTGGGTGAGCATGGTGCTGGCCACACCAGTCCCCCCCTCTCCTCGTGCACTGTGCCGGCCTTCATAGTTTGTCACAAACAGCACTTGCCCCAACAGCCTGTGTAGGCTTACACGGGGAAATTTTTTTTAATCTTTGTCAATACAGGAACTGCCTCTGTATGGCTCTGGCGGCTTCCGGTTCTTCTGGGACAGTAAGTTTGACCAGGCGATGGTGGCATTCCTGGACTGCCTGCAACAGTTCAAGGAGGAGGTGGAGAAGGGGGACACTGGCTTCTGTTTGCCCTACAAGTAACTGCACACTTCATTCACGCACACACATACACACGTGCACACAACAACAGCCACCATTCGCCACTAAGTGGCAGTGACATCACCATGGCGCCTGTGCCAGGCCAGGTGCGCTTTGAGGCCACGTGAAGTGTTGAAGGCCGGCAGGAGGTCACGGGACAGACCCAGGTGCCATGGGTCGACTGACTGAGATGACCGAGATGAGTGGCTGATGCACCACCTGTGCCCCCTACTGTGCCAACTTGCTGTGCTTTAGCCACCCGGCACTCTGCTCGTTGTTGTGAGCGTCGGATCTCCGCCCTTCGTTGTTGTTGGAGGGCGACTGCCTCCAACTGCCCAATAGCGTCCTTCACGAGCCTCCTCCACAGAGGCCAATCTTAACACCGCTCGTACCAGTCATCGGCAAGTCCACTCAGCTCCACGTCCTCCTGTACCACATCACTCCACACAGGCACACACGCACACACACGCATCCACAGGTGGAAACCGTTATTACTGTGCTTGTCATCGTCACCATCGGCCATGATTTTTCCACTGCTGGATGAATGCTTCCCCAAGCCGTTGTCACGTCTCCCGTGGCCTTCCATGCAGTGACTCATCTAGATCCCGCCCACGCGAGCTGATTTGGTCGCGCCATGAGACAACCTCATTTTGTCGCGCCATCTCCGCGATGAACGTACGCTTGGGTTCGTCGCTTTCTTTGGCAACCACTACGTGTTGAGTCTCAACCCCCCGGCCTCATTGTTCCTGCTAACTGTGACCTTGACGCCTGTATATTTGGAGTTTGCATGTCTGTCTCCCCGTCATCTTGTGGATTTTTCTCCGGGTCCCCCCTGTTTTTCCCTCCACGTTTAGACTCAACATGCATTTCGAGTATTCGTCTGTGATACATTTCCACATGATAAGCCACTTCGTTGAGCTATCATTCGTGGCCAGGTTGTGTCCAAGTAAAAAGAGCCACATAGCGCGGTGGGCCTCACCTGGTGAATTAAATAATAGTTTAGTAGTTTCGTAGTTTAGAGGGCGGCTGCCGACGATGACGGGCGTCGACGACGGCTTTGTCGCGCGCAGGATGGACGTGGAGAAGGGACGCATCGAGGACACGGGCGGCACGGGGGGATCCTACTCGATCAAGATCCAGTTCAACTCGGAGGAGCAGTGGACCAAGGCCCTCAAGTTCATGCTCACCGACCTCAAGTGGGGGCTTGCCTGGGTCTCGTCGCACGTCAGCGCCGCCAAGTGACCGGCGACTTCGCGCCAATCGCTGCCGTCACCAACCGGGGTGCGCTTGGCTTCCAAAACCGCGTGCCATTTATGTATGTATTTGTGTGTGTACATATGTTGAACTTCTTTCGCACAGTACGTAGCCAACCGCACGAATCGGAGGTGCAGAGGGAGGGACGACAAACTAAACACAAAAAGCGGTTCTGTAGAAATGAGTTTTCAATCTAGATTGAGTGGGTATTGGACTAATTGAATGGGAACCCGTTATTTATTTCACACCTTCAGTTATTGTACTTTTGTTATTTGACAACTATATAGTCCGGCAATAATGATTTTGCAAGGAAAAATGCTTTTTTGTTTTGAGGCAAAGTACACAACTGTAATCATGATATCATGTAATTATGTTGAAATTCTTTCCCACTGTATATAGCCTACCATGCTACTTGGAGGTGCGGGGGAAGGACAACAAACTAAACGCAAAAAGCAGATCTAAGAAATCAGTTTTTAATCTGGATTTAAAAGTGCAGAGCTCCTAATATCGGAAGGAAGAGCGTTCCAGACAGCCACGGAAACGCATCTGAGAGCACGCGATATAGTGACTGTCTATGTTCGATGGCTAGCCATAGGCCGCCGCAAGGATTTAATCAGAAGGAAAGTCATGATTATTGTTTGATGGGTGTGTGAATGTGAATCGCAAGTAGGTTAGCCATATTATGTCGTTTTATCTTGATTTACCCGTTGGGAGTTTTTACGACTGATTTGGTAGGCTTAGACATCCGCTTGTTTAGGTTATTTTGAGTAGCATACGTCCAGTTATGTTTTAGCGGCCAGCGAAAGTTCAGTTAGCGGCGAATGTGTTTGGTTCCTGGAACCTTTTTTGAATGTCATAAGCCCTGCGATGTGTCTTCGTGTCGCGCCGCGTTTTGTTCTGCACGATGTCCAACGTTTAGCTCCAGGAGCTGAGAGCTTCTTTAAGCACGTGGAGTGTAAGTGCGCTTGGGCAGAACAGATCATGAGAGGGGATGAAGGCTGGTGGTTTGGAGTTTCCTGAAGAAGCTTCCCGCACGCGGATAGAAATGTCGGACATCGTGTCGAACGGGGCGCGGCACAACCAGAAACCGAATCGGAGTGCTGGACAGCACAACCGGGAGAACCTCCGCAGTAACTTGCCGAAAGTCTGTCAGAATGAAGGTCATGGGTGCGAGTCGCGTGTTATTATTACAGAGCTTTTAAAGCTGCAAATGGAAAATTGTTCGAATGTAACGATGCGACTGATTCGTAGATTAAAATCGGTTCTTTTGATACATGCGTTGAAGCACACTTCTGCGGGAATTGATTGTTGTAGGATATTGGCTAACTATGTTCACGTGTGCAAGCACTCGAAATGTAACACGTGTGAGAGTACAATACAGACGACAGATATTACGATCCAAGGCCGCAATTATAATATATATTGGGGGGGACACATCCCCCCAAATATTCAAATATGCTCAAAATGTCCCCCCAATATATTGCTATCAAATAGATTTCTGTTTATATGATTGTGGCTATGGTTGTACTTTATTAATCCCTAATCTCTGCCATTACATACAATGAAACAAGAAAAGGTAAAATAGAAAAAACAGCAATGTAATAAATACAATACACTATCAGACATTGTAAAATATAAATGAAAAGTCCATCCTATGTGTTAGTGATTTTTTTTATATTTTAGGCAGGAAATGGCAGGAAATTTTGTTTCCAAATTTAGATTTTTTTTCAGGGGGCGAGAGACCCCCAGACCCCCTGGAAGATTTGGTCCCCCCAATGTTGACTCCATGGCTACGGCCTTGTTACAATCGCCTGTTGATGATCAACTGGCGGAATGGAGGAACGAGAGAGGAAGCAAGACGGCACAAACGAGTTCACGCGAAAGGGACGGACAACAGAAAAGAGACGCGGCGCAAACAAGATAGCAGCTAGGAGACGCACTGTGCACACCACACGGGGTCAATCGGAGGATAGAAATTAAACGAAGCACAAGCGAGACCTTCAAAATGAGACGGCACAAACAACACAAGCAGGGAGTTGCAGAGTACAAAAAGAGACGCGGCTTGTGTTCCAAAAGAGACGTGGCTGTAAAGAAACGAGACGGGCGGAACGCGTGAGGCAGGCATTGAAGACGAGTCGCGGTCGAAGTGAGATGCTCCCCGCACCTCCGATTAGCGCGGTTGGCTACGTACGGTGCGAAACAAATTCAACATACGTACTTGCAGAGAAAGCCAAACTTGATTCTCGAGTTAAATCGCAACTCTTGATTCGTGACAATTCATCCGATCGCCGTCACGTCCGTTCAACGTCACACAAACCAAAACGCACGAAGTTCGTGAATAGCAATTGTGGTTACTTTTCAAAATGCAAGGGATGCTGCCACGCCAATGGTGTTGCAACGGTCAGCACACCGGACTTGCCATCCAGACGGGGTCACCGGTTCGATTCGATTTCCGGGTGCGGCAGTGGTGCAGGTTTATGAAAGCCTTTTTCCACCCAGCAGAATGGATGGGTAACGACGTGTCATGGTGTTACCCTTCCAAGATGTCTGACTATCCTAGATGAGAAGGGCAAAATAATCTTGAGGGGCTGTCTAGAGCTCTTAATAGCAGAGGTTCTTGTACCAGCAGGAGCAAAGGATTGCAGGGCTGCACCTTTACCTTACGAACTGGACTTGCCACCAGAGGTCACCGGTTCCGTTCGATCTCCAGGCGCAACAGTTGAAATAGTGGTGCAAGTTTGTGAAATCCTCTCCGCCTCTTTCTACCCAGCAGTACGAATGGGTAACGCCGCAGTTAGTCGCGTGTGTAGTGCGGCAGGAGCAAGCAATTGCAGGGCCGCACTTTTACCTTACGGAAATGCAAACGGAGTTTAACTTGCCCGAGCTTCAAGGTTGCAGCCAGATGTGGGAGAGACTTGTAAACTTGGCAAAACATGAATTCTCACTTAAGTTGAACCTTTGAATTGTTGAGTTAATTTATTGTACATATAACTTTTCTTTTTTTGCAAAGAATTGAAAACATCTGCATGCTGGGTGTAAACCCGCAATCTTGACATTGCCAGGAGCCTGCTAAGTATGACATGGGGCATGAAGATAAGAACCCATGCTCTTGGAACGTATATATATCTGTACTAAAGACTTTGTTATAGCAAAAATAAAACTATGGAAATTGTTGCTTTTCCAATGACTCATTCCGCTGCTATTTACTGAATTAAATCGACGAGGAACACCGTGTACTTTTGGCACGTGGTCACCAGCCGAGATGCTTGGCATGTGCAGATACAAGAGTCAATGACGCTTGCCCAATGCAATGCGGGGATATTTTGGAGCGGGAGTGTGTCACAGTGCCACTGCCCTCTCCTGTCCACGTTGCATAACAAAACATCCATGTGCACTTTCAGCCAATTTTTCTTCTTCTATCCATTCATCAAGCGATTGTCGGATCCGCTGGCCTTGATGCAGGTCTGACCCCACGCCGTTGTGCGGAACGTTGATTGTATTTCGCCGTGCAAATCCAGGTTTGGTGAAATGACCAGTTCCGATGGCTCGCGCACACTTGACAAGTTGGCCGTGACCGGGCACGAACGTTCAGCCGGTTAGCACGGTTGGCTACGTACGGTGCGAAAAAAGTTCCAACATACGGACGCACATACATTGGGCCGGATTTATAATGTCAATGCGCTGACGACTGCGCCACGCTTGTGCTCACAGTGTAGTGTATATTATTGAGGCTGGACAAAAAACGAGAAGCCATAAGAGATGGTGGATGATGTGCCATGCAGGGCTGTTGCCTGAATCGTCGCCGATATTGAGATGTTCTTATGGGGCCACAAAATAGTTGTTTGTTAATTATGCTTGTGCACCACTGCCAATGCAGCATCACCAAACAAATGTATTATTTTCATTGAATCGGAATGCTCCAATGTTTGGAAGCTCAGCAGGCATCATGTACTGAGTGTCTGGGCAGCCATCAAAAGATAAATACAAAGATCCCCCGTATAGCCTGAGCAGACTGTTAGGGCGAGTGCTGTTAGCGAGCACCTGTGGGTGACCAACACCACGCCCGGTCGCCTTTGTCTCCCCGAGTGACGATGTTTTACACACCGCACCAGGTACTCCTTTGAGGCTGAGTCGACCTAGGGGAGGCCCAGGACCGGTTCAGATAATCGTCATCGGTGTTGATGGCCGTGATCGGGAATCGAACCCCACAGCCACCACACACAGGTTGCCATAAAGGTTTGCGGGAACAACGTTTGGCAGCAGAGAGTAGTGCAAGCAACATTGTCCCACCGATAAGAATAGGTGTCACCCTTTCTGGCAATAAAGCAGTTGTGTTAAGATGTTAAAACACCAAACAGAAACCTTTTGTAAGGAATCATGTCACTGCCATTAACCACATATACGTGTGGCAAACATGCAAATAAAACATGCTCTGATAGAATACTTTGGGTCTTTCGGTAAAGTCACGTAGATAGGTTCGAAGAAAATAAAACTACGACGTTTCGATCGCAACACAGGCGTTCGTCATCAGGGAAAAAATTATAATGTCCCACCTCAATTCTCCCACCACCGTCACCAACCAGCAGTAACCAGTGTGGTGAAGTATGGTCAAGCAATCCACACGGCGTGAGGCCGAGACCTCAAGCTCGAACTTAATTCTAGATTTGAAGCTTTCGTGACTGCAAGTAATCATATTCTTAGGTTTTTTCGGTAAAGTCACGTAGGTAAAACATCAAAATTAATAAAAATAATTATAAAAATGAAAATTTTATTTATATAAATATTTTATTTATATAAAAATAAATATTTTAATTATAAAAATAAATATTTTATTTTTATTAATTTTGATGTTTTACCTACGTGACTTTACCGAAAAAACCTAAGAATACAAAATCGAACTGTTCCCATTACGAGACCTAGAAAACTTGGCCGTGTCTTTTTCTCTCGCCGTGGAAATCACTTGCTAAATGATTTTTTCGTCGAATTTCTTAAATCGTAAATTACAAAGCGATAATTCCATAATTCTAGATTTGAAGCTTTCGTGACTGCAAGGATTCATATTCTTATGTTTTTTTTTTGGTAAAGTCACGTAGGTAAAACATCAAAATTAATACATTTTATTTTTATTAATTTTGATGTTTTACCTACGTGACTTTACCGAAAAAAAACCTAAGAAGATAATTCCATAGTCACACCACCATCAATTCACACAACCGGCTGATAATTTAAAGAACATTTATAAATGTATGTAGATCGGCACCACTGCATATTTTTGCGCCAAAAAAACCCATCAACACGTTTGTCAATTCTAGATTTGAAGCTTTCGTGACTGCAAGGATTCATACTCTTAGTTCTTTCGGTAAAGTCACGTAGGTGAAAAATGAAATTAAAATTAATAAAAATAAAACAATAAAATCACGACGTTTCGGAGGCAACACAAGTCCCCGTCATCAGGTGGGACCGTCACAGCCAGATTTGCTGCATCAAGTCAATAACACAAAGAAAAATACGAGGCGACGTTTCGGGCAGTGGTCCTACGACATCGCCCATATATAGAGGAGTAATCATACGAGTTGGATTGAGAACTTTCACTTAACGCCATGGGAGAGTCATGACTTAAAAAAAAAATTCTGATCAGTTTTTTTTTTATTGCCATCAAAATACAGAAGGGATGAATTTAACCGAATAACGGGTCACTGGCTGTCAATGGGAAAATCATCAAATCAAACAGCAGCAGTGTGACACCCACCCCCCACCCCCACCCCCCACCCCTGCCCATTGGCTTGTGTAGTTAGTATTTAATTCAAATGTTATGCGAGCGGAGCACAGCAAAATCGCCGCGGTCCCTTGTAGCGGATGACGCCGGGCGTGCGAAGTGGGGGGGGGGGGAGCATTCCAGGCGGCGCCGTCTTCAGGCGGCCCGCGGCGAACTTTATTTATTTATTTGATGACGTCATCCCTCGCCCCGCCCACTTCATGCATTATTTATTAGGGGGGCGGGGGGTAGCGGGTATGGCGATTCCTCAATCAACGTGGGAATCGATTCAATTCGATTCTATAGAAAGCTACGGTGCGATTCGATTTTTTTTGGTGGATCGTTATTCCTGAATCGATCGATTCTTAAATTTGATCAATTTTTTTTAGTACGGGATGGTTGTGTGCAGATTCTATTGACTGTGCAGTTGAGGACAACGAGGAATTTAAATTTGTCGTGGAGTCTGGAGACGTGGGGATTTGTAGATTTAAATATTCTTAGGTTTTTTCGGTAAAGTCACGTAGGTAAAACATCAAAATTAATGAAAATAAAATAAAAATCATTAATTGTGATGTTTTACCTACACGGTGACTTTACCGAAAAAAACCTAAGAATATGGATCCTTGCAGTCACGAAAGCTTCAAATCTAGAATTGTAGATTTAAAGTTGTGCGAATCTATAGAGTTGATAATGGTGGGAATGTACAGAATGAACGGCATGGATGTTAACCCCATACGGTTTAATCCATATTCTTTGTACAGGGAAATTGAGATTTCAGGTCCTAACCCTTACAGCAGTTTCAATACGGGCAAAAATAAATATAGTGTCTATTTGTTTGTGATTCTCCCTCGTGGTAGGATTTTGTAGGATTAACGTTGAGATTTGAAGGGGCACAAGGTCTGAATTGGTCTGTAATGAGGTAGGAGGCATTCATAAGGAGTTGACAGGTACGTTACTGTTATCCCGTTATAAAGGGGCCGTCCATAAATGACGTCACGCACCTGGGGGGGGGGGGGGGGTCTGACATTTGTGACGATGTGTGACGAGAGGGGGGGGTGAGAAATGTGACGTCACATCAAAATGTGCAACTTTAAATAACTATAGACAACACGTTCTATTTAATTAAATAGACTTTTTAATACATGTTTTCTCGTACAACATCAGAGTGCAGCGCCACATTAAATACGCACTACAATGACAATAGTTTAAAGCGATTTGAAGCATGTTTTATTTTGGGGGGGGGGGGGGGGCAGAGCTTTGTGACGTCACATTTGAGGGGGGGGGGTGTCTGACTTTTTGTGACGCCGTGTAACAAGAGGGGCGGGTCAAAAATCGTCCAAAATCGCGTGACGTCATTTATGGACGGTCCCAAAAGCCATCTGCAGTATCGTGAGATGAGTAAGGTAGTAAAGTTTCACTATATGTATACTAATAATTTAGATGTGTGGATATCATACAATCTTGCAGTGGTATAAACTAGGAAGGAAATGCATCACAAGCAGTGCGATTATTTGAATCGCGCGTTATCATTTAACAAAAAAAAATCGATTTCAATGTTCAACGACTGCAACACAGTTAAATAGTTCAACAATCGATTTAAAGCTTTCGTGACTGCAGGGATTCATCTTCTTGGTTCTTTCGGTAAAGTCTTCAGACTCTGTCTTCTCGACAGACCTGTTCTCCACCTGAGGACGGCTGCTTGCGTTGTGGCCGAAACGTCGTGAGGATTATTTTATTATGTTTTATTTTTATTATTTTATTATTTCCATTCTACGTGACTTTACCGAAAGAACCAAGAAGAGTTAACAATCGATTATTCGTTTATCCCGAGTCCCACGTGTTTGGTGTGGGCGGTGTCAACATTCACCGTATTCTCTGGATTATTAGCACCCACCGCAAGTAGTTGAAAGCCAAATGCGCGTCTTGTAATAAAATCCTGTAGGTGCGTGTCAGATGCGTGATCAGAATCCTCCAACTTTATTGACGTAGGGTCATAGGGGAACACGCGCGCGTGTGTGTGGTCTGGATAGATGCGTCGTGTACTCCAGGGAATACGGTAATAGCAGAGGTAGATTTAACACGTTAGCCTTTCGCGACAAATATTATTCATAATAAAGGTTTTTGGTGTTCTTGGTTCTTTCGGTAAAGTCACGTAGAATGGAAATAATAAAATAATAAAAATAAAACATAATAAAATAATTTCTCACGACGTTTCGGCCACAACGCAAGCAGCCTGTCATCAGGTGACGAACAGGTCTGTCGATAAGACTCTGTCTGCTTGCGTTGTGGCCGAAACGTCGTGATAATTATTTTATTATGTTTATTTTTTATTAGTTTTATTATTTCCATTCTACGTGACTTTACGGAAAAGAACCAAAAAGATGAATCCCTGCAGTCACGAAAGTTTTAAATCGAAAGGTTTTTGGGTTAGATCGCGATGTTTATAAATGTGTCGTAACCCTCCACCACCCGACACGGTCAAACAGTAAAAAAAAACGTGTGTCACGTTTTACAAAAGACAAAATAGTTCACTACTTTAGCCCACCGGT